AGGAGGAGGGGGAATGCGGGGCGCTCAGGGGAGGGGACGGAGTTGGGGCGGGGACTTTGGGGAGGGGCGGAGTTGGGGCGGGGAAGGGGAATGGGCGGGGCCAGGGCCCCGTGGAGTGTCCTCTTTTTAAAAACCTTTAATATGGTAACCCTAAGTACCGGAGTTGACGGGAGAGCACTCAGTGGTGGATTTATTGCGTATAGACGCGATAAATCGACCTCCGCTGGATCGATCGCTGCCCGCCGATCCGGCAGGTAGTGTAGACAAGCTCTAAGTGTATAATCTCATGTACAATAGAACCTCAGAGTTACAAACACCAGAGTTACAAACTGACCAGTCAACCACACACCTCGTTGGAACCAGAAGTACACAATCAGGCAGCAGCAGAAACAAACAAACAAACAAACAAAAGTAAATACATTACAGGGCTGTGTTAAACATAATATTTTAAAAAAATAAAGGGAAAGCAGGATTTTTCTTCTGTATAGTAAAGTTTCAAAGCTGTATTAAGTCAATGTTCAGTTTTGAAAGAACAACCATAACATTTTTTCAGAGTTCGGATATTTCTGAATTATGAGCAACCTCCATTCCTGAGGTGTTCGTAACTCTGAGGTTCTACTGTAGATTGACCATATTTCCCTATGCTGAATACAGAACACCTGGTAAAATTACTCGTAGTCAAGTGAGTTCAACGGCAATCAATCAGAACTATGCAGTACAAATGTTCCAATTAACATCAAGTTGACTGAGCCCCTGTTAAAAAGAAATATTGCGTACTCGGATTCTTTTTATTTACCTTCTTATCTTTAAGGCTTTAGGGTTCACATGGGGAGAGGTGACACACACTCTCCCGTACACCTCTCTCACACACTGGGGGTGACTAACCAACCCGACCCTCCCTGCCCGGCGCTCTCTGCCCTCCGTGCCTGGCTGGGCCCCCAGGATGGACCCACCTCTTCTGGTACCTGGCACCGCGTCTTCCTGAGGCAACACGTGGGGTGGGCATGCAGGGTCACATGCCTCCCCTCCCCAGATTTCTACCAAGGTTCACAACAGAATGTGACCAGCAGCAGCCTTTCCGCACTGTGTGGGAGGGAAGGGACGGGAGCTACTTCCAGACACAGAGGAGGAGGGGAGGGAAGGGATGACCTGGCCCGTGTCTTTGCAGAGCTCATCTCTTCCCTCCCACCACCCATCCCGGTGGCTGGAAGCAGCTTGTCCCTTCCTGTCCATACAGTGTCAAACGCAGCTAACACCTCCAGGCTGCCGCTGGCCACCGACATAACCCAGCCACCTCCTGACCCCCAGCTACAGCGTGGGCAGGAAGGGGTTAACGAAGGACGCATTGTGCACCAGGGCCCAGGGAACCAGACTTCATTGGCTTCAGCGAACCTGGCCAGAGAGGTGGCTCAGCAGTGGAGGGTGCCTAGGGGGCAGAGCAGCCCCACGCTCTCTGGGGATGGTTCCAGGGTGGGGGGAGGCAGGTGAAGAAGGTTCTAAGCCCCTGCCCGGGGGGCTGCTGTGGAGCCTGCAGGGTCAGGACACAAAGAGGCTGTAAATCACTTCTCCCCGCCCCCAACCCCGCCACTCCAGAGCTTCGCTGAGGGGCGGAGAGGCTTCCCCGTGCCAGCGCTGTGTGGGGCTTTGGCACATGCAGGACTTGGTTTCTCCTGGCCAGCGTCCCCGAGCTGGAGGGTCTTGGGCTTTCCCAGGGTGCCGGCCCAGCCAGAGGTAGTGGGGGAAGGAAGGAGCCTACTGGCCAGTCTGTTGGTGAGCTGAGCACTCTGACCAGGGGCTGGTTCTCCGCACAGCACTGGGAGTGGGATGCAGCCTGATGGGATGGATATGGGGGAGCAGCAGGGTGTGAAGGGGCAAAGCAGGGAGAGGACAGCGAGAGGGGGAGGACGTAAAGGGCCAATGGGTGGGCAGCAAAGGCGACACATAACTGGCCGCTGCCTGGCACCTGCCCACACTCACTGGCCACCACAGCTCGCAGTGTGCAGCCAGTGCTGGCCAGAAACGGGACGGGGGTGAGACCCTGCTGACCGAGAGCTGACATGCAGCGGGGGCTACGCTGATGGACCAGCAGGGGGAGCGCTGCAGCTTTCCCCCTCACCTCCCTTGCACACCCACCCCCATCATCAGCCACTGGACCCTTCCACTCACTGCTGGTGGGTGGGCGGCTGGTGAGCAGGGATCCGGCCAGCAGCAGGACCCGGGGGCACCTGCAGGAGGGCTTAAATACGGGACTGTCCCTTTAAAAACGGGACATCTGGTCCCCCTATTCTATTGTATTTTCTAATCTGAGTTAGATTACATGGGACACAGACTGCCCTAATAACACTAGTAATGATCTCCTCCTTGCCGTGGACAGAGGAAAAACATTCATGCTCATATCTCTCTGTGGCATTTGACACTATGCAGAGTTGAATCAGAGGAACTTCTTTGGCTCCCATGAAGAAGAGGAGCATGCTACACAGTCACTGTTTTCACAACATCCATACTTCTGCTTTTTGGACATTTCCTTTATTCCTGGTTTGCTCCCTTCCGCGCCATATTGTACATAGGAACTCTTGTGCTTACCTTGACAATCTTAATGAGACACTTGTCTGCTAGCCTGAGATTTGTTTTTAATCTCAGAATGTTTCT